CCAAATCCTTCAATTCCTTTTTTTTTTTTTTTTTAAGACAGGGTCTTACTTTGTCACCTAGACTGGAGTTCAAGTGGCCCAATCTTGGCTCACTGTAACTTCTGGTTCCCAGGCTCAAGCAATTCCTCAACCAACAAACAAATACAAAAATTAGCCCAATACCACACCTGGCTAATTTTTGTATTTGTAATAGAGATGGAGTTTCGCCATGTTGGCCAGACTGCTCTCGAACTCCTGACCTCAAATGATCCATCCACCTTGGCCTCCCAAAATGCTGGGATTACAAGTGTGAGCCACCGCACCCAGCCCAATCCTTCTATTCTTGTACAACAAAACACTGTTTTTCAATGTTGCTCAGCATTCATTTCCTGCTTCTCCTTTGGTTTGTGATTCAGGAGGTACTTGGGAATTAGCAAGGTCTTTTCAATAGCTGCACATAGTAGCTAACAGACATTTTGGTATGTTAAACCATCATATTATTTTAAATTTATATATAGATAGAGGTTGCTTGAGTGATACCAAGATAGATACTGAAAGCTAGAATTGTGAGTGGTTTTATTAAAACACTTAATAAGTTTAAAATATTAATTCATTTAAATGCGTTATTTTAAAAGTTGATATTTAATCATAATCTTTATGCTGATATTTAATTATACATTTTGATTTCATGTAATACAATTTTTATTTTTTATCTTATTTTTAATAAAACACTTTTGGAGGAAAGGTAACATTAAAAATAATTTTAATTTTTCAATGTTAGTATTTATTTAAGTTTGCTCTTAGATAAAAATATTTATATTTTGTATATATTGCACACAATTACATTTTAAATCCTTTGGTTTATTCCTACCCATAGAACAAACTATATGGAAGTTTTTATTATAACAACACTGTTAGTGTCTTTGCTGAAATGAAGGCAAGAAAAAAAAATATGGAGTATATACGCAATACTTCAAGAACTATGTGTATCTTTACAATTCACCCAAACATTGCCAACCTGTTCACAGGACAGCAAGACATCCATGAGAATAATTAAAGTCTATTTTCTTTGATATTGTAGAAGATAATTTTTAGTCATCTAAAAACCGTAGCTTTGCACATCTTTTATTGTTTCTTTATGAATGTGCGTTTCTTATGGCAGGAGGCCAGCACAGTTGATTGTTGCTATTTGTGGTAGTTACGTCCTATAAAGTCACAGGGAACACTGAATTATCAAATACTGAACCACTGCCCTAGGGGAAATGCATGTTAGGTTTCTGGTCACAGCATTTTTATCAACTGATGAGTACATAAACTGTTCCTGTTAAAAGACACCTTATTTAACATGTATTGTTAGTTCATTAATGTTGAACTCAGGGCTAACAGCGTTATCACTCATGTCTGAGCAATGCCTATCATATGCTCCCCATAAAACTCATCACAGCATCTCTGCAGTTAGGAGCACTGTATGGCAGCGATCTCCTACCTTTTTGGCACCAGGTACTGGTTTAATGGAAGACAATTTTTCCACAGATTGAGCGGTGGGGAATTGTTTCAGGATGATTCAAGTGTATTGCATTTATTGTGAACTTTATTTCTATTATAATTACATTATAATATATAATGAAATAGTTACACAACTCAGCATAATGTAGAATCAGTGGGAGGCTTGAGTTTGTTTTCCTGCAAGTAGACAGTGCCATCCGGGAATAATTGGAGACAGTGACAGGTCACGAGGCATTAGATTCTCATAAGGAGCATGCAACCTACATCCCTCCCACGTGTAGTTCACCATGGGGCTCACGCTTGTATGTGAATCTAATGCTACCACTGATCTGACAGGAGGCGGAGTTCAGGCAGTAATGTGAGTGATGGAGAGTGGCTGTAAATACAGAAGAAGCTTTGCTAATCCACTGGCCACTCACCTCGTGCTGTGCTGCCCAGTTCCTAATGGGCTGTGGACCCAATATCTGGCGCTTCAGCATGACACTTGAGGCCATTTTAAACAGAATTACCAACAAAAAGCACTAAAATTTAAAAAATGTGACATTAAATAGATCATAAAAAGGACACCCATTTACCAGATGAATACTGAAAGGAGGAGGCAGTGCTTTTTCCTTGTTCATTTCAGCTGGGAACACGCATGTTGGCAACTGAAAGGTTTGTCCTTCCATTACAGTCTGTGAATGTCTGCAACAGTGACTCAAGAGCTGATTTTGGGTTTCCAAATAAATTTTAGCTAGTAGGCAAATTAGCAGATACAGAATTTGAGAATAAGGCAAATCAATTGTACATATTTTATATAATAATTTGTTAACTTGATTTATAATTTTAAATACTTAGTCATATGGTATGTGAATTTCTGTTTGAATTCTTAGGCCCTACAAGTGTAAAGAATGGGACTGGAACACAACATTTGTTGCTGAAGTTACATATTTTGGTATGTTTGATAAATTTAGGTAAATATCATAAGAGAGATAATTCATTTTAGAATAGAATTTTTAAAAGACTAATTTAAATGCTAACGAAAATCTGCTGCAGCCAATACTCTAACAGAAAAACTTAAAAAGATCCAAAAATGTGCTGTTTTTCTAACTGTATCATAAATTTTAATATTATGATAAATTAAATTAATGTGTCTCTTAGTAGTAGTAAAATAAGAAAGAGCGTTGTATTCAAATCAGGGTGACACACACTAATTGTTGTGTTTCAGACAGCTGTAAGCAGTTTTGTGCCACTGGGAGACAATGATTCTGGTTGTGTGGAACAGACACAAGGGATTAGGCAAAGGATAACTTAAACCAGGCAACTTCTTAGGAACTGTCTCCAAAGCTGGCCCTGGAGAGCCCCATTTCTCAGATGATAGCAATTAAGAAAGGAGGTTGTAAGTCAGCTAGCTGTTTAGAGACTAGGGGCTGTCAGAACCACGGTAACCAATAGATTGTGTGAGGCAGGGTGGGGGAGTAGAAAGACTGATAGCGTGCATAGGTTGATGACTGGACAGTTGTTATTTTTTTTAAGTCACCTCTAGTCTTATTTATCTTTACTTTTGTTGCCTGTGCTTTTGGTGTCATATTCAAGAAATATTTCTGTGTATCAAAGGAAATAATTAGTAGAATGAAAAGGTAACCTACAGAATGGAGAAAATATTTGCAGATTACATAGTGGATAAGGGTTTCATGTCCAGAATATATAAAGAACTCTTACAATTCAACAACAAAAATCCAAATAACCTGATTTTAAAATGAGCAAAGGATTTGAATAGACATTTCTCCAAAGAAGATATACAAACAGACAATAAATGTATAAAAAGATGTTCAACATCACCAATCATTAGAGAATACAAATAAAAACCACAATGAGATACTGCTTCACATCTGTCAGAAGGACTATCATGAAAAAAAAAAAAAACACAGAAAATAATAAGTGTTGGTGAGGATATAGAGAAATGGGAACCTTTCTGCACTGTTGGTGGGAAAGTAAATGGTGCAGCTGCTATAGAAAAACTCTATGGAGATTCCTCAGAAAATTAAAAATAGAACTACCATATGATCTGGCATTTCCATTTCTGGGCACGTAACCAAAAGAACTGAAAGCAGAATATTGAAGAAATATTTGCACATCCATGTTTAGAGCACCATTATTCACAATAGCCAAAGGTGGGAATAACTCAATGTCTGTTGCCAGATGAATGGATAAACAAGAGATGTTCTATACCTACAATGGAATATTATTCAGCCTTAAAAAGGAGGAAATCTTGTCTCATGCCACAATATCGATAAATCTTGAGGGCATGTGGTAAGTGAAATAGGGTAGTTACAAAAAGACACATACTGTATGATCCCATTTGGATTAAGTATCTAAGGTGGTCAAGTTCACAGAAACAGAAAATACAATGGTGGTTGACAGGGGCTGGGAGGAGACAGAAATGGGGAATTGTTTAATGGGTATAAAGTATCAGGTTTGCAAGATTAAAGTGTTCTAGAGGTCAGTTTCACACAATGTGAATATACTTAACACTACTAAACTGGATGCTTAAAAATGGCTCAGATGGGCTTACATCATATGGCCAGAAACATTAGCTAGTGCTTATTCTACCCTCTAATGCGGAAGCAGTGGACTACCAGAGACTAAACTGTATCTGCCTCTATTTCCAAGAGACTCACATTCAACTTTGGCTCATAAAAAGCTGGGAAAATTTCATGAGTCCTTCTTTAAAAAAAATTATTATTATGGCAAAAAAAAGCAATCTGAACTTTAATAACGCAACTGAAACAGTCAGCAGCAGTAGCAGCAATGGCAGAAAAAGAGGTATAATTTACTTGATTTTCTGTGGTTGCTGGTTTGTTCACTGGGAGCCGCACATTTTTCCTAAGGGACAGAAAAGCTGCTGAAGGTCTGGTTCTCCTGAAAGCAACTCAACGCAAAGCAAGGATCTAGGGCTCTTCGTACCATCCCAAGATCTGAATGGGGGCATACCTTTTTGTCTGGTATTTGATGGAGCCTTCTCACTAAAGGTACCTTGGATTTCCAGAAAGAAATTGAGTTTCTCAATGCAGGTTTCCAAATGGAGCAGTGTATTGTATGTGACATATGAATTCTGACTGTTGGTAATTATATATTACAGATTTTGCAGACAGTGGGGTAGTAAGCCAGATCAAACCCTGGGAATTCTGATGAGTGAGCTTGACCCGTCAGTTAAGGAAAGACTCTTTCTCCATGAAAGACTGTGTCACTGCAGAGGATGTCACTCAGACTGGAATTGGTGCCCTTGCGCTAGGTTCTGTCATTGATGCCACGCTGTTCAATCCTTGTGAGTAGTTGATGAAAGGAAGGAAGGCAGATGGCCCTTATGGGACTACTCACATCACTCCAGAACCAGAAGTTTTATATGTTAGCTTTGAAACAAACTTAAATCAGACCTCCCGTGATGACCTGATCAGGAAATTTGTGGAATTTTTTTTTTTTTTTTTTTAGAATGGAGTCTTGCTATGTCTTCCAGGCTGGAATGCAGTGGCACAATCTTGGCTCACTGCAACTTCCACCTCCCAGGTGATTTTCCTGCCTCAGCCAGATTTTCCTGATAGTTGCAATTGCAGGAGCATACCACTGCAACCAGCTTATTTTCATATTTTTAGTAGAGACAGAGTTTCGCCATGTTGGCCAGGCTGGTTTCAAACTCCTGACCTCAAGTGATCTGCCCACCTCGGCCTCCCAATGTGCTGGGATTACAGGCGTGAGCCTGGCCCACTTTGTTTATCAGAGTTCTATACAGTGCTTTTTTTTGCCCCAGAAGATTGAAGTTTTAAGTGTCTTGAGAGTGCTGGTTCAATGATTATTATTTTGTTTTTACTGGTTTTGTTAAGAAGCAGCAACAGCAGCATTGACTAAGAAAAATGAAGACTAGATATTGAAACCAGGAGCCATGCTTTCCATAACTACCACCTTGTAGTTTCAGAAACCCTAGACATAATGAGAGTATAATCATTTTTGAATTGTATGTGTCATTATATCAAGGAATTAGATATATTGCATGAATGCTCACTTCTGTGTTTAGGTACTCTTTGCCATTCTTGCTGTGAAATTAAAGTGTATGTAGAAAAAACCTTTTACTCTATGAAACTTTACGACACTTGTGAAAGCAACTCAGTTTGGTTTAGGCACAGTGTAATCTTTCTTCAGGAATCATCCAAAATTCCCCACAGGCAAAACGCTTATCTTCAGGCTAATCATCTGGGATTGTCCAATTAAACTGGTGCTAGAATTTTACATCCAGTTTTGTCTACTTTCCAGGACGTATTCTTTACTAATGTTATTGAAACCAATTTCTGCTTAAAACAAATATTTTTTGCAACAGCAAAAAAGTTTTTCTTCCATGAGTAGAGTCCTTTAGAAAAAAAAAAAATGGTTAAGGTGGTAAATGTCATGTAATTTTTACCACAACTAAAAATTAAAAAAATTATTAAGCAAAAAGAAAGTCATCTGTAAAAGAACAGGTAATATTGATCTGTTTTCCATCCTAGTCTTAATGAGATAAAATACATCTATGGAAATATCACTGATGCTTATAATTTTTTTCTCATTCTTACATAAAGAGAGAAACAGCTGACTCCATAGATTGAAGAATCAAGTTGTTTGCTGGAGATGATTAAAAACAATCTAAAGGATCCATTAATAGAAGATTTATAAAAGGGATTTGTCGCTGGGGGACTAAAGAGGTTTAGCTGTCATTGGAATATGCAGTTTTCAAGATCAACACTATCATTATCTACGTATCTACAACGATCCTGATCTTTCTCCAAGCTGGTTTTCCACTTCTTGAAGTCGTATTCAAAAACCATCTTAATACTAACTTTTTCATCATGACACTAAAGCAATGCCAAACTATCAAAAAGTACCTCAAAGTTGATACACAATATCTCAGTCTTAGTTACTGTGTTCTTCCGAGAACTTGTTTTTTTAGGAAAATTGTAAAACAACACCAATAATTACAATTCTTGTCTCTATTCAAAGTGGTGACATTGAGGTCTTCTAAAGTAACTATAGCCCTTGGAATAAATTTCTTGAGGCTAATTTCTATGTAACGGGAAATTACAACCCTGATGAAAGCATCAGGAACATTTTGTTTCTACCTGTAGAGGGGGACAGGGATAGGATGTCAATTCTCGTTCTTCTGACTGGCTCTGCTTAGCGAATGGTTTAGGTGGACCAGGATTAGCTCTTACTCTTTGTCCTTGTCCCTGAAATTCATTATCTATTGCTGCATATCAAATTATTCAGAAATGTAGTGACTTAAAACAACAACATTTATTATTCTATTTCACAGTTCCTATAGGTCAGGAAATCCTGGCTGGCCCATGGCTTAGCTGGGTCCTCTGTCTCGGGTCTTTTTAAAACTGCAATCAAGGCGTCCACTGGGGCTGTGGTCATCTCAAAGCTTGGCTGGGGGTAGATTTGCTTCGAATGTTGCCCACGTGATTGTTGGAACGATTCAGTTCCTTGATGGCTGTTGACAGGATGTGCCCTTCATTCTGGACATGTGAGTCGCTCCATCAGGACAGCTCACTTGAGAGCTGGACTCATCAGAACAAGTGAGAAGGGCCTAAAAGATGTTAGCAAGACTGAAGTTGTTGTGTTTTATAACCTCCTCAAAGTGGCATTCTATCACTTTTGCTGTAGTTCATTCATTAGAAGCAGCCCATGTTCAAGGGGAGAAGATTCCGCAGGGCATGAGGACCACTGGGGGGCATTCTAAAGACTGCCTGCCACACCAACCTTCACACGGATGTGTTTCATTTGGGCTCACATTTCTATTCAATTTCTAAAGGAGGAAAAGAGATTTGTAAGAAGTACATGAAGTAGGAATGGAATTAAAAGTGTATCCACGGAAATAGGCTATAGATCCAAGAAACACAGAGAGAGGAGAGCTGGAAGCGTGCAGGAGTGACTGGGATTCTGGCCATTAAAAAGATGCGGTTCTATGGAGAACCCTCGGGACCTGGAGAGGCGATGCATTGGTGGGAGGAACATGTTAGTGGTTTTCAAATATCTGAAGTTATAGACAGAGGGGGAATGATATTTACTTTTTAAAAAAAATTCCAGAAAAGAAAGTCAGGACCAAAGTCAAGAGACCAATTTCTGCCAGTGGAGCCATGAACCAGCGGAATGTGCACCACTGCAGTGGGTGCTCCACTGCACGGAAACGTTCAGGAAGAGGCTGGGCAGCTGCCGATAGAGATTGTGACACTGTCTTCTCTCTCTATTTCTCCCTGTTTCCCAGTTTTGGTTAGTCATATTATAATTTATTGCTAACGTTTATCACTTTTAAATTCAATTAGCCACCTGTAACTGCCCTCCATGTTTTGTCCTTAGATATTTACTCTGAAGAAGTATCGGACTATTATAATTATAGAAACATTATTCATAAAGATATCCATAAAGAGTAATATGATCCCATGCCACAAGCTTTCGCTGTTCCAAGGAGAATGTCCAATTAATATCTGTTTAATTCTTTTTAACTTTGTCTTCAGCTCTCCTCACCTCTTCTTGGTCACACTTCATTGTCATGTGTCTTATTTCTCATGTTCCTTTGAAAATTCCTTTATTTTGGGAGTAAGCAAGCCTCTGGGGAATACTTTCACAGGGGATACGTGAGTAATATACTTTTTGAGTTACTGCATATCAGGAGATGTTTTAATTTGACCGTGTGCTTTATGATTATTTGGCCGGGTGTAGTATGCAAGAACCAAATTTGTTTCTCTTCAGAACGTTGAAGTTTTGCCACCCTGTCTTCCAGTGTCTTCTGTTGCTAATGGAATGTCTGACGTTAATTTGATTTTCATCCCTTGGCATGTGGCCAATATTCTTCCTTCTCTGGTTTCTAGGCTTTTCTATTTATTCTGTGGAATTCTAAGATTTCATCACCTTGAATCCAGGGGTGAGTTTTTTCATCTACCTGCTTAATCCTTAGTAGATATTTTCAGTATTAAGACTTCTAATATTTTCAACTCATAGGAACTCTATCAATTATGATTATTATCTCCAATTTACTAATAAGGTTCAGGGAGATAAAAACGAGTGACCGAGGTCACTGCCTCGTCTTTCTATTGAATTATGTTTGGAGTAAGGAAATATACCTGAAGATCATGATTAAGACTATACTTGGTACAAAATATAAAGCACTTTGATTTTACTTTAGAAAGCTGGATAGTTGCTACCTTGAAATTTTGATGTTCATAACAGTAATGATTAATAATAAATGGATAAGTGTATATATACAAGTTCTATTTACTGTAAAAAAATGAAGAAACACTTGAATAGTTACTTTTGGGCACTCTCCTTGACCACACTTCAAGCTAAACACTTCTTTTATGGGCCCTGAAGGTGAGACGGATGCAGAAACAGTGAAAGTAAGATCTGTTGGAGTAGGCGATAGCAGCATTTGGGGTTCATCCGCTAATCAAACCTTCCCTGTTGATGGAAGAAAAAGGTAAGTTGACACCACACACACACACACACACACACACACTTTCTCTCTCACACATACATATATAAAGAAATCATAGTTGATTCTTTTAACGAATTAGAAGAATAAACAGAGAGGCAACACCATGTGCTCTCAATATGTCACAGATCATGGAGATCTCATGAGTCATTATGTTTTTAAGCCAGGGAGTTCCCCAAGGTCCCATTGCAAATCAGTGGCAGAGTATATACTAAGTATTTTTTTAAAAAGATATCAAATTATTTTCCCATCTTATCAGCTGAGAATGGATTTCTTTGCCTCCTTTCTCTATAGGCACCCAGGAAATTTGCTACCACTAATAAGGATAGCATGAAATTCTCTTTAAAGTAAAATGAGCTAGAATCTCTCACTTCCAAGTTGGGGTCAGTTCCCTGACTACACATGCACAGAAAGGGGGGATGTGTACTCTCAGGCCAACAGGGTTATAATTGCAAAGGCCACTGGTGGCTGTTCTGGGTATGTTATGAGCAAAATTCTCTATTGGATGGAACAAGCTGTAGTGTTGTGATGTATGACCAAAATGGATGCTCTATACTGGGTCTCTCAGCCTTGGCATTATTGAGATTTGGGGCTGGATAATCCTTTGCTGTGTGGCCTGTCCTGTGCATGGTCAGAGGTTTTGAAGCACTTCTGGCTTCTGCCCACTCGATGCTGCTTGTGACAACCACAGATATCTTCAGTCATTGCCAAATGTCCCCTGGGAAGCAAAATCACCTCTGGTTGAGAACCACAGATCGAAGCAAATTCAATAAAAATTGTTTTTGGTAAATAACTCTGAAAAATACACAACAGGTATTTAAAAACACATTGTACTTTTCACACTGGAGTATTTGAAGATTATGTGCTAAAATATAAACATTCCAGGCTCTGGAAAGAGGCAAGGAATGTTTATATAAACACAATGAACCCTTGGGATGATCAGTTGGCAATAATGAAATACACACAAAATTCTACATGTTGCATGAGAAATAATTCTCTGAGCAGATTATTAATCTCAGCTTTGTGTTACTTATAGCCACATACATGA